GCGTGGTCGGGCCACGCCGAGTGCGTCAAGGTCTTGTCGGAGGCGGCGGCTGCAGACGGCCGGGCAGGGGCGGGCGGCGCCTCCTCGGGCGCGGCAGCGGCAGCGGTGGACGCGCCGCTGCTCGGCCAGCGAGTCGTGCTCGGCGGCCTCTCTGCCCGCCCCGAGCTGAACGGGAAGCGGGGCGTGGCGCAGAGCTTCGAGGGCGGGCGGTACGCGGTGGCGCTCGAGGAAGGCTGCGAGAGCGTGCGGGTGCGGCCGGGCAATCTGTCGCCACCGGCGGCGAGGCAGACGTCGAGCGGTGTCGCGGCAGTCTCCGAAGCGGTTATGCAAGCGGTTGAGCGTGGCGAGGAGGAGGCGGTGTTGACGTGGCTCGACGAGGGCGGGCGGGTCGACGCGACGTACGAGAGAGGCGGGGTGATCGGCACGCTGCTGATGATCTCCTCCCTCTACGGCCACGAGCACCTTGTCAAATTGCTGCTGCAGCATGGCGCAGGTGTCAACCTGCAGGACAGCGGCGGCGGCACCGCGCTGATGAACGCCGCCAGCTACGGCCACGAGCAGGTGGTCGACTTGCTGGTACGGCGCGGCGCTGATGTCAACGTGCAAAGCAGCGATGTCAACCTGCTGGACAGCCTCGGCTCCACCGCGCTGATGTACGCCGCCTTTTTCAACCACCCCGCCGTCGTGCGGCGCTTGCTGCGGGCGGGCGCTGACATGGCGGCGCGCAATGCGAGCGGCAAGACGGCGCTGCAGATGGCCAAGGAGCAGGGCCACGCCGCCTGCGTCGAGGCCTTCAAGAAGCACGTCCAGGAGGTGGTGGCGGGACGGCCCACGGCGACGGCAGCCGGCGGCGAAGGCGCAGGCGGCGCTTCCTCCGGCGGCGCTTCCTCGGGCGCGGCAGCGGCAGCGGCAGCGGTGGACGCGCCGCTGCTCGGGCAGCGAGTCGTGCTCGGCGGCCTCTCTGCCCGCCCCGAGCTGAACGGGAAGCGGGGCGTGGCGCAGAGCTTCGAGGGCGGTCGGTACGCGGTGGCGCTCGAGGGAGGCGGCGAGAGCGTGCGGGTGCGGCCGGGCAATCTGTCGCCAGTGGCGGCGGCGGAGCGGCCGTCGAGCGGTGTGGTGGCGGTCTCCGATGAGGTCGTGGCAGCGGCTCATCGAGGCGATGAGGAGGCGGTGCTGGCGTGGATTGACAGCGGCGGGCGGGCCGACGCGACGTTCGAGAGAGGCGGCGCGAGCGGCATGACGCTGCTGATCCGCGCCGCCCTGGCAGGCCACGAGCGGGTGGTCGAGCTGCTGCTGCAGCACGGCGCGGAGATCGACCAGCAGGACAGCGACGGCCAGACCGCGCTGATGCTCGCCGCCATCCAAGGCCACGAGCGGGTGGTCGACTTGCTGACACAGCGCGGCGCTGAGGTCAACTTGCAGGACATCAAAGGCTGCACCGCGCTGATGTTCGCCGCCCTCCTCAACCACCCCGCCGTCGTGCGGCGCTTGCTGCGGGCGGGCGCAGACGCGGCGCGCACTGTTGGCGCCCGTGTTGGCGGCAAGACGGCGCTGCGGATGGCCAGGAGTCAGGGCCACGCCGAGTGCGTGCGCGCCCTCGAGGAGCACTCGTCGGCCACAGCAGAGGCGGACGGGGAGACGGCGGTCGCAGAATCAGCCGAACAGGCCGCGGCGGCCGCACGTGAGGCGGCGGCGGCTGCGGCCGCGGCGGAGGCGCGCGATGCTGCCGAGGCGGCGCTGCGCGAGGCGGTCGAGGCGTGCGAGCGAGGCGATGCCGATCTCGAGGCGCTCAGGGCGGCGATCAACGCAAACACCGCCCAGGCCGCCGACGGCTCGGAGGCGCTGCGGGCGGCGCGGCGGCTGCGCGACGAGCTGGCGGAGCGAAAGGCCCGCGAGGCCAGGGCGCTGAAGCGGCAGCGGCAGAAGGAGGAGAAGGCGGCGGCGGCGGCTGCGCGGGCGGCGGAGCGGGCGGCGGAGCGGGCGGAGGAGGCGCGGGCCGCAGAGGAGGCGCGAGTGGCGGAGGAAGCGGATCGGGTGGTAGCAGAGGTTGCGGCGGCGCGGGCGGCGGAGGAGGCGGAGGCGGCGTCGCGCGCAAGGGAGGAGGCAGAGGCGAGGGCGAGGGAGGAGGCGGCAAGGGAGAGGGAGGAGGCGAGGATGAGGGCGGAGGCGGAGGCGGAGGCGGCGGCGGCGGAGGCAGCGGCGGAGGCGGCGGCTGTAGAGGCGGCAGTGGCGGCCGTGGCGGCGGCGGAGGCTCAAGAGGCGGCGGCAGCGGCGGCGGCAGCAGAGGCAGCGGCGGCGGCGGAGGCAGTGGAGGCGGCGTCGAGTGTCGCCGCCCTCGCCGCCGCCGCCGCGCCGCCCGCCGCCGTCCCTCTCGACGAGCTCACCGCGTGGACCGACGGCTTTGCCGAGGCGCGCAAGGTGGGCGAGGGAGGCTTCGGGCGCGTCTACCGCTGCGACGCGCTGCCGTCGCTCCCGCGCGTCGCTTGCGGGTTCGCCGTCAAGACGGCGCTGGTCGGTGTCGGCGCCCAAGGCCTCGCCGAGCTGCAGAGCGAGGTGCGCACCCTCAGCGCGGCGTGCCACCCGTCCCTGCTTCCTTTGCTCGGCGTCTGCTTGGCGCCGGCGAGAGCGTGCCTCGTCTACCCCCTCTGCCGCGGCGGCAGCCTCGAGGACCGCCTCTACCGCGCTCCAGCCGCACTGCAGCGGCTCCGCATGGTCGGCTTCGAGACGCCGCCTCCCCCCCTCTCCTCCGCCGCACGGCTCCGCGTGCTGCGCGACGCCGCGAGCGCGCTACACTACCTGCACACACTCTCGCCCATGATCCTGCACCGCGACGTCTCGGCGGGCAACATCCTGCTCGACGAGCGCGGCAACGGCTACCTCGCCGACGTGGGCCTCGCGCGCGCGGCGGAGGCGACGGCCGGCGCCAATGGACAGGTCTCGCACCTGTCAACGCAGCGTATCTTTGGGAAGCCTGGCTACATGGACCCGATCATCTCGCTGGACAACCAGGCTTCGCAGCTGACTGACGGTTTCGCGCTCGGCATCACGCTGCTCGTCAGCCTGACCGGCCGCGGCGCCGTCGGCTTGCTCAACGCGTGCGACGATGCATTGGAGGAGCCCGACACGGCGGAGAGCATCGCGGCGGCCGACGCGGGCTGGTCGGCGGGGCAGGCCGAGGAGCTGGCGAGGCTCGTGGTCGGGCTGGCGTACGAGCGGAAGCGGAAGCGGATGCCGCTCGCAGAGGCGCTGCCGCGGCTGGAGGCGCTGGCCGAGGCGGCGGGGGAGGTGGAGGAGACGGCTGGGGCCGAGGAGCGCCAGTGTGACCTCTGCTACGACGCGCCGCGCTCGGTCCGCTTCGCGTGCGGCCATGCGCTGTACTGCGAGACATGTGCGCCGCGCGTGCTGGAGCGCGACACCAACTGCCCGACTTGCCGCCAGCCGGCGCTGCCCATCGCCGCAACTGGGCGGCTGGTGGCGGCGCAGACGACGTTTGTCTACCAGCCGCCTGCGCGCGCTGGGCCAACCGCAGCCCGTAGCCCGCAACCCGCGGGCGCTCGCGGCGGGGCCGACATCGACCCCCACCAGCAGCAGCAGCAGCAGCAGCAGCAGCAGCAGCAGCAGCAGCATCAGCAGCAGCAGCAGCAGCAGCAGCAGCAGCAGCAGCAGCAGCAGCAGCAGCAGCAGCAGCAGCAGCAGCAGCAGCAGCAGTCGCAGCAGTCGCGCAGCGGGCGTGGCGGGCACGGCGGCCGAGGCGGCCGAGGCGGCCGAGGCGGCCGAGGCGGCCGAGGCGGCCGAGGCGGGCGTGGCGGACGCGGCGGACGCGGCGGACGTGTTGGGTGATTTGGGGCTGGCACAGTTCACATGCACATGGCTTTGCATCCGTTTTTGCTTTCGCGTTTCGGATTCGGTGTCCTGGGCCTGGGGGTATCGTCTCATGAACTTCTCTCAAAAACACCGAGATGCGCGAGAAAAAACACAGGTTCTCACTCAGTATCTAGATACAGTCTACCGCGAATGGAGCAGGCGGACATCGCTTCCAGGGAGGGGGGCGTGCTTCTGCTCACACCACATGCTAGGGGGGGGGTCCGACCCCCCCCAGAGGCTTCACCACATGCTAGGGGGGGGGTCCCGCCCCCCCCAGCACCTTCACCACATGCTAGGGGGGGGGTCGTGGCCGAGGACCCCCCCAGAGACTCGTGGTCAGACCCTCCGGGCCCTTGATTTTACGCCTCATTTCGCAGCATTTTCGAGGGGGAAATCATCCTTTGGAGCTACATGAGCCTTGAGACTGGTCAGATTCTCCAATATATTGGACTTTCAGCCACGATTTCACAACTTTGGGGGCAAAATCGGCTCTCTGGCGGCTATTCCTAGCCCACGAACTGCTGGGGGGTGCCCACCACATGCTAGGGGGGGGTCCGACCCCCCCCACAGAGGCTTCACCACATGCTAGGGGGGGGGTCCCGACCCCCCCAGCGCCTTCACCACATGCTAGGGGGGGGGTGGAGCGTGAGCAGAAGCACGCCCCCCTCCCTGGAAGCGATGTCCGCCTGCTCATGCCCAAAAGCCCACTCACACAGCTCACATAAACATAAAGCACGCAGCTATGGCACCCTCGAAATTCCCTCCAACGCGCAAATCCCTCCCAACTCAAAAACGACTCACTGCCGTCGACTCGGTGGGCACAACGATGCGTTCGGTTCGCTCACGCCGCCACGTGTCGGAGTGAAATGGATGGAACTAGCCATTTAGCGAGTGAAGGTGCGAGCAATCGCACAGAGATGCTACGATTGCGAGGAGTGTCGCTCACAATCCTTCGACTTCTAGGATTGCGAGCGAGGAAAGAAAGAAAGAAAGAAAACAGACCCCATGGGCGAACGCGTGTTTTTTCTTCCGGCGCACCTGTGCGAGGGAGTGCGGGGCACTTCCGAGGGAGTGCACTTCCGGACGCCGCGCCACATCCCACAGCTCTACGGCCAAATCTCTGTACAGCGCCCGCTATGTCCCAGCTGCGCCCACTTTCCCAGAGGCAGCGCCCACTATCGGGCATCGAGGTGACGACACGCGGCGAGGAAGCGAGCGAGGAGGCGAGCGAATCCACCTGTTCCGGCGCCTCGATGGTGTCGGACGACAGCCACGGCCGTCTGGGCGTCGTGAGCACGGCGCTCCTGCTGGTCGCTGACTGTGTCGGCACCGGCGTCCTCGGCCTCCCCGCGGAGGTGGATCTGCTCGGACCGCTCGGGTTGCTCTTCCTCGCGCTGCAGATCCCCGTCAACGCGTACGTCGGAGGCCTGCTCAACGCGGCCGCCACCCGCGTGGACGACGGGACCCGGCCGCAGCAGGGCGGCGCGACGGCAAACATCCTGCAGCTGACGCGCGCGCTCTTCGGCGCCGGCTCGGGCGCCGCTCGGGCGACGGCCGCCGCGTGGTACCTCAACCTCTTCCTCGTGCTCGGCAACTACCTCGTCGTGATGGGCTCCGCCGTGCAGGCGCTCGCCGGGGGGCTCTGCGCCTACCAGGCGTCGGTCGTCGCGACCCTGCTTGCGCTCGGCCTGAGCCAGCTGCCCCGCATGCGCGACCTCGGCCAGCTGCCCACCCTCCTCTCGATCGCCACCGTGGTCGGCGTGCTCGCCATCTGCGTCGCCGCCTCTCGCGCATCGCCGCCGCTTCCGCCACCGCCGCCCGGCGAGGCGACGGGCGGCGGCGCGCCGGCCGGCGGCGGCGCCTTCTCGCGCGTTCTCCGCGTCGGGTCGGCACTCTCGGGCATCATCTTCGCGATGGGGTCGCAGAAGCTGCTGCTCAACATCCGCGCGGAGATGCGCGAGCCGGCGAGGGCGGACGCGGCGCTGCGGCTCGCTCTCGCGCTGTACGGCGCCATCTACCTCGCCGTGGTCCTGCTGTGTGGCCCCTCGCCGCCCGGCCTGCTGCTGGACGCGGTGCCTCTGGGAAATGCGCGCCGGCTCGCGGGTTTCCTGCTCTGGCTGCACGTCGCCGTCTCGTACGCCATCAACTCGCAGGCGCTCTGCTCGAGCCTCGCGGCGTCCCGCGACGGCGGCGGCGGCGGCGGCGGCAGCGGCGGCGGCGGCGGAGAGGGAGTCAGGGGTCCGTCGTGCGGCGTCGAGTGGCTGCTGCTGACGACGGCGGTGACGGCGCTGGCTTGGGTGGTTGCCAACGCGGTCCCGTTCTTCCAGGATTTGGTTGGGCTCATTGGAGGGACGACCCAGGCGATCTCCCCATTTCTCTCCCGATATCTCCCCATATCTCCGACTGACATTGGAGGGACGACGCAGGCGCCGCTGACGCTGCTGCTGCCGGCGCTGCTCTATCGGCGGGCTGCGTGGCCGCTGAACCGGTCGCGCAACACGGGCAGTGCAGCCGTGGTCGTCGTCTCCGCGGCCCTCGTCGCCTACGGCACTCTCGGCGCCGTCGGCAACATCATCAGCGATTGGCACAACCACGGCACCCCCTTCTCGTGCGCGTTGCCGCCGGCAGCCCCGCCGCCACCGCCGCCGGCCTACCTCGAGCGCTGGCATCGGCGGGCGCTTCGAGCGCCGCCGGCGCCTCACACGCGAGCCAGGCGCCGCGATACGCTTTTGCGGGCGCAACACAGCGACGTCGTGGGTGACGCCGATCCGCCCGCAAGCTGAGCTTTGGGCGTGTGGGTGTGTACGCCAGTCCGCAGTGTGCTCGCCAGATAATGAGGCTTCATCAGACAGCACAAGGATGGTGGATGCTCAACGACGTATGCGATGTATTATGTTCCATTTTCTCACCTCTCTCAGCTCTTGTCCTTCGTTTGTGGTTTGAACGTTTCCCCTAACCGCGCGGAGCTTTTAGAGGGACACACTGATCACAGTGGTGGACACCGACTGTAAAAAAGGGTGTGGATGCTGGGTTGACGGAAATCGGGGGACGCGACCCACTTCGCCACAGACGGTTCCCGCGCCTCCCCGCTATGACGGCCACACGGCCGCAGCTCGTGTGCGTGTAGCCGTCTTTGTCCGGAGTGAAAACTCCAACGCGCTCGTCGGTGGCGGCGTCCCCCGATTTCGCCGCGCTCGGCGAACCTCGACAGTAGGGGGCCCACAGCGCCCCAAAATCCACCAGTGTGGGATTTCGCGCAATCGCTTGACTCTGAAAAGCTCGCCTATCCCTGCGGTGAGCGCTGTGGTCGCCGCAGACTGGCTCCGACTTGACGGGGGCATGGAGACGTGATGCCTCCATGCCCCCGTCGAGTCAAAATCGACATGCGAGGCGATCTTTGGCCCGCCAGAGGGATAGGCGGCGTTTTGGGCGACAAACAGCGCTGCGACCGCGAAGTGGCGGTGGACATGCTCCCATGTTGCCGACGCGGCGCCGGAGTGGCCGGCGCTACTCGCCGCGACCACGACGGCTACTCCGATGCGCCGGGCCGACCCGTCCTACCCGACGGTGGCACTCTTCCACGTCTCGCTCACGCTGAGAAAAATTCTGAAACGGCGTGCAGCAGAGTCGCCGACGAGTCGGTGCGTGTGCCTCCTCGTGTCGCGCATCGTTCTCACCCATCCATAAACTCACTTTGGCCTCACTAAAGCGAAGTCTGAATCCTTAATCCTCAGATTTTAGATTAGGACGCTGTGGGCCCTCTATCGACAGCGCCTTCGGTGGCATGCAGCTCTTTGCGACAGAAGCCTGGAGAGCAGCTCCTCTGCTGCTCACACACTCTGCACAGTTGACACAGCCTACTGTGCGGCTGCCACAGCTGTGACAGCGATGGGCTCGCCCTCACTGGCCCTCAGTCACTTGTGCTGCGGCTTGTGTGAGCGACACTGCTCGGCGACTGCCGGCACACTGTGAGACCATGGGTGTGAGGTCAGACCACGCTACCAGCGCGCTTGGTCACATCGGCCCCGAGGTCAGATCCATCTACTCTGTTGATGACAAGACTTGTCTACCGGCTGGAGCCGAGCAGGAGGGCCCGGCGCACAACCCCCTGGAGCGGCCGCACATTGCTCGGTACCCCCCCTGCCCATGGCCGACCCCCCCCCCCAGCAGCAGCGCTCTTGTTGCGAGGGTTGACGGGGGGTCTCAACCGTCAACCAGATGGTTGAGGGGGGGCCTCAACCCTCAAGCCCTCAACCCTTCTACAACCCCCTCGGCAGAATCGCGCGCAACGGTTCGCGCCCAGCATAAAACATGTTCTCCCTCCGGTCCCGGGTCGCGTTGGTCTCGGGCGGCGGGACGGGCATCGGCGCCGCGCTGGCGCAAGCTCTCGCGGAGGCGGGAGCGCGGGTCGTCATTGCGGGCCGGCGACTCGAGCCGCTGCAGGCGACGGCCGCACGGATCAACGCCGCCGTGGCCGACAGCGGGGCGGAGGCCAAGTGCTTTGCGCTCGCGTGCGACGTCGCCGATCTGGACGCCGCCGACTCGATCGTCGAGCAGGCTGCCGCGCTCGCCGGCGGCCCGCCGGTCCTGCTGCTCAACAACGCCGGCGTGAACGTGCGGCAGCCCGCCGCGGAGCTGACGGCCGAGCACTGGAGGCAGTCGCTCGACCTGATGCTCGCGGCGCCCGCCTTTCTGGCCCGAGCCTGCGCCCCGGGGATGGCCGCGGCCGGATACGGGCGGACCGTCGCCCTAGATGCGGAAGACGGGTCTGTGCATTTCCTAGACACTTCATAACTGCCTCGACACTGCCTCGACACACTGCCTCGACACACTGCCTCGAGACTGGAAGCCGTCTTCCAGTGTAGGATCGTCACGACCGCGTCGCTGCAAAGTGCTCTCGCCTTCCCAAACTCGCTGCCGTACGCCGCCGCAAAGTCGGGCGTGCTCGGCCTGACCCGCGCCCTGGCCGAGGCGTACAGCCCGGCGCACGGGTACGAGGGCATCACGTCAAACGCGATCGCGCCCGGCTTTGTCCAGACGGAGCTCACCGCCTCGGTCTTTGCCGACGAGCCGAGGGCGCGGCAGCTGGCCGCGCGCACGATCGCCGCGCGCAACTCGACGCCGGCCGACCTTGCGGGCGCCGCGGTGTTTCTGTGCAGCCCGGCGAGCGCGTACGTGAATGGGCAGACCCTGTACGTGGACGGCGGCTTCACAGCACTCGGGCACCGCTGAGGCGCCGTTCTCTAAAAATATTATAGAAATCACAGCAAAGGGGTGTTCACTTCGTTTTCACGTTTTTGAACTTTTCAACCCACAACCGCTAATCGAACGGTCATATTGGTGTGTGTTGGACGCGTTGCGCGCGAGGCGCGAGGGCGGAGAGGGAGAATATATGTACACGGACGGACGGAGCTTACAGCTTTACGCGTTTCACGGTGGAACTGCTGGGTGTGTCTCTGGGAGGTGGGAGTGGTGCAGTGCCAGTGGGCTCGTTGTGTGAGTATATGGGCCACGATGTCTCAAATATGAGGGGTTTTGACTCCTACCAGCTCCTGACGCTATCCCTGGCAGCTCTAATGGCCAGGATCGGTAGTGTTGTGATAGAGGGTGCCCATACTAGCGCAGGAGCTGCCACACTCGCCCGGACCGTCCCCTTCTGGGGCCGGTTCCGCAGCCCGCGAGAGCCGACCGCGGGGCTGTGCCGCGGGTGCCTACTGCCGAGTGCCACAAACACTGCGCCGTCCCGCCATCACCTACAGGCTGTCTTGTGTGATGGTTGGGATGTCCAAACGCCACCATCTTGGCTCTTGCGACCTCAAACCCGCGAGCTGTATGGGTGGTCCTGACGTCGACAGACGCCCGATGACCACGGTGAAGCTGAGCCGGAACGCGTCGACAAGTCTCGTCTGAGCCCGTGGCGGTCGCCGGCTGAGTCGCCGTACACGGGCCGGTACCTCAGGCGTCACCTCCGCAGCCTCAGGTCTCACACTCTATCACCTCCGCCGGGACGCCTTCGGTGTCACGCTCGGCGGCGTACTTTCTGCAGCTCCATCTCGAGTACGGCGTCGAGTATACTCACTCCTGTTGGATACACGCACTCCCTGGGACCCAGGGAGTGCGTGTATCCAGCAAGCGGTGCGTCCCGGCAGCGCGCGCAGGCTGCGGAGCTGCCACAAACTCGACACGCTTTTGGGGACATTTTCGACGCTTTTGGCCCATATACTCGCACAACATGCCAGTGGCGAGTGGGGGACGCCAGAGAGATCGAAAAGAGAACGGGAGTCGGGAGAGGGCCCGCGGCGCCGCCCAGACAGATTACAGACAGTGTGTGCTATATACGACACGCGATCCTAAGCAGAATAAAAGTTGCGCCGCCTCTCACGTCTCACGGCCTCTGACCTGTGACCATCCTGATGAGATCGCAGATCCGCCTCTCTGTCTCTCGACACACACGACGCGTTGCTTCTCACCCTCTCGCGGGGAGAGCCCTCTCTCTCTCTCTCTCTCCACAAAACGGGGAGCCGACGAAACGTTGAGCAGTGCTGCTCGCGCCGGCTCCCCCGTCCTCTACGCTGCCTGGCGCACTCTACGAACCCCCGCGGCCGAGAGGCGCGAGAGGCGCGAGAGGCGCGAGACCGGCATCTCTGCGCGGCAACGCGCCTCGCCCGGCGCCGTGTCGCGAGGGCCCGGCACGGCAAGGCACCTCTACCCCAGCTGCGCCGCCTCGCAAAGGTACGAGACGCCCCTGGCAAGATCCCCCCCCCCCCCACCCCCCCCAAACCCCCCAC